TCGTCTGCCTGGCTGGGTGTTTCCTGGACGGGGCCGTCTGTGGAGCTGGTTGACAGTTGCCTTTTGTATCTCTGCTTCCTTTTCAATGTCTTCTTCTTTCTCTTTGACCCCAGTTGGCCTCAGCAGATGGCCGCTCACACTGAGCCTGGTTCTGTTAAAACTCCTGTAAAACTCCTGTTAAAAGGGAGTTTTCTTCTCCACTGTCGCTACAAGCATGCTTGGTGTGAGGGATTGATAAAGAATCAGTGGGTCGATGTAATCAGCTGGTTTGAACTAATCGGACTGTAGGATGTGGTTGAATTGTCTCTGTAAAGTGCATTGATATGAAGTGTTGTGAATTGGTGTTATAGAAATAAACATAATTGAACTGAATTTGTAGCTGCAAGACTGATGTGGAACAAAACTGAAAACCTCTGATGATTAAAAAAAGTGTTGTGCAACACTATATTGATAAAAGAAATCATTGGCTTGGATACATTTGGTTTATAGAGCTTTTATATAAAAACTGACGTCTTTTGATAATATAAAACATAGAACTGTAAATAGATAACAAAATAGCAGCCATTGTTTTATTGTTATTGTTATATATTTTTATGCATTGTTATTATATTTTTATGCAATATTTAACAAGCGTCTAAAAAGCCATATTTGCTTTGTTTAAAGCTGTAAAAATAAAAGTTTGACAAGCAAAGACACTGGTTTGAAAAAAGTGAGCCATCCTCTGTAACCTAATTCAGGTTCTCTCCACTGTTTCTCTATATGAATCAGTGTTTTTTAGCACTTACCGATAAGATCTCATCTCCCCGCATTAGCTCTCCGCTGAGGTCAGCCGGCCCGCCTGATAGGATGAAGGAGACAAAGATACCTTCACCATCTTCTCCACCCACTATGTTGAAGCCCAGGCCTGTGGATCCCTTGTGAAGCACAACTGTCCTGGGTTCCCTGTATACACAGTTGAGATAATATATCAGCTCTTGAGAGTCGGTCGGTCTCAGCATGTTCAACACTGGTAGCAGAAGGCTGAATCCAAAGGACAGTTTAAACACACAAATTTCAAGACTGTCACAGCTCTTAAGGGGGCTGATGTTCCACTTAGGCCTGTATGACCCAAATTCACTTTCTCTCTCTCTCTCTCTCTTTCCCTATCTCCCTCGTGTGTATTTGCTCACACTCGGTGTTCCTCTAGCCACACTTAACCCCTTTTCTTTATGCTTTTATTCTGGCACAACAAGCCTTTATTTTGAAAATGGACTGTAAGGAAATGGGAGGGTTAGCGAGAGAAAAGATATGTGGCAAAGATCACTGTTTTGAGCCTTGGAATGGATGTATCATATATTTTCTAGAGAATACTTAATTATTTTTCCCTATTGCTTATGCACTAAACCACGTTATCTAAATCAACCATGTTCTTGTTGATGGTATGATAATAGACAAAGTGCACAACCAAACATTAGTAGATTCATTGCATGCACTGTGTCCTGATCTGCCCTGATAGCTCATCTTAATTATTCATGCCTCTCACCTGCTTTATTCTGTCATGCTCCTAATTATAAATCATCCTATCCCCCTGGATTTCAGCTTTATATTCGACCGAGCCCCAGCTATCGGGGCCAGACCATTGTTTGCTTTCTGTTTGTTTGCTGTTTGATGTCTGTTGGTTCTGTTTCATTAGTTTTGTTAGTCAAAGGTTCATGCTCCCGTTCCAATGAGTAGATTATTCTCAGTATTCGCCAGTGTCTTCAGGCGAGTTTCATCCCTAACCAGTGGTGATACTGTTTCAGTGTTTCCTAATGATTCTGATTTTCTCGTTCGGTTCCCTCTCGTCCACTGGCTCTGTCTGTCCCCGTCTGATCTGTTCGCCCACTGCTCCCTAAGGGTATGGGTTAAAAGCAGAGGTAAATTTCTCCAGTGTGACATCAATACAATTCAAGTAATTTGGCATAAGATACTGATATTTTATAACAGTGAACCATTTGTCACTCAGAGCCAGATCCACCCTTCAGGGTTAAAGAAACAGAGACCTTTGGTTGGTGTTTAATAACTCCACTAATAGCCATAGCCTAAATTACTAAATTGGTGAAAGACAACTAGATTTTAACAGAAGTGCAACCTTGGGTAAAAGAGAAAAGAACCCTGGTGAGTATGCAAATATCAGTTATGATCATTTAACTAATAATCATTAATTGGCTTTACCCTTTATTTATAACACCCAGTTCCTATATGTTCCTAATCTGCAGGTAAGATAATATATATTAAAATGTCATCAAATGTCTTGGGTATATAATACTAAATAAGTATTTGAACACCCTGCTATTTTGCAAGTTCTCGCATTCAAAAATCATGGAGAGTCATTGTATGTGGATGTCCACAGAAAAATACATAAACTAAATAAAAAAATAATAATCCAGAAATCCCAATGTATGTTATTTTCAACTATTAATTTGTAAGATACGGCTATATGTAACCATATCTCACTTAGAAATATCACACCAAGATTATTACCAGTAATTGAGTCATTGATTTATTTATTATTAAGTTATTACTTTGTAATAGATGGATGTCAGAAATTACGAAATGTGGAGCAGTGGCTACTTTTTAAAATATTTTATAAAGTGTATAAAGGTATTTCTGGGTATCTTGCTTTCCATGTAAAGAGCATCATGTTCCCGTCCCCGGAGGACAGTGGATTCAGAGGGTTTGGTGTTTGTCTTGTCTCCTGATCGTTTCCCGGCTCTTTACCGCCGAGCCCTCAGGGTTTTGGCTCGGAACGTCAGGAGATCACTTTTAGTCCTGTAAGTCTGGTTCCTAGGTGGAGATCAATTTAAAGTTTCTGCAATTATCCAGGTAGCATGTCTTGTCTCTGTTCTTCTCAACCACTGAGCCCGCCTATCTCCATCTGAGTGTCTGTTTGAGCTCACACCTGGACTCATGGAATTCTGAACCTGCCTTCGCATCCTGTCAATTCCCACAACCCTGGATCTATCTGTTCCTGTTTTGTCCCTGGTTGGGTTACAGACTCCTGGATCCCAGAACTGTTCCTGTCTGATCTGTAGCCCTGACCTGGATTGGGGTTGCTGCATCGGGGACACTCTGGGCGGCTCCTTGTGCCGCACTTCGTTTGTCAGCCCATGGATTCTGCCTTCCTCGGAGAGGATTGACTGAACTGTTAAACCAGGGCACCGCCCAATCACTGTCACTCTGGAGGGAGAAACACAGGTAAGTGACCATCTGACGGGATATGATTATCCAAGTGAGTCACTTACCTGTGTTTCTCCCTCCAGAGTGACAGTGATTGGGCGGTGCCCTGCTCCCCCTCCTGCAGCCGCTGCAGTCTGCTTATTCACAGCAGCCCGCATTTCTGTTTTGTTAAATTTTGTGTTCATTTCTGTCATTAAAAGTTTAAAACTTCCCACTATCTGACTTGCGTGAATTGTCGGTCCATCTGTCTGTTTTTTTCACATATGAACCAGGGATTTAAACAAAACTAGAAAAACAAACATGAACAAACTGACATGAAAAATTAGCACAAATAGACTAAGAATACACAAATAATGATCAGGCCCCTTTATCTGGGCGGAACCATATATATATATATATATATATATATATATATATATATATATATATATATATATATATATATATATATATATATATATATAGCAGTGGGAGCGGGTGAATAAGATCAATGATAATCAAAGAGCGGGGAGAGAACAGCAGGTGAATTAAGTGAGTTATCAGATCAGCTCCCAAAGCTGCGATCCTGACAGAAGGGCAAGATTGTTACAAGTTTTATTTTTCTTTTTATCAAGTTTTTTGTTGGTGGTATTCATATAAATATACTGGTTTGATAATTTAGTATACGTTTGAGTGGTTTTTGGTATAGGTCTATTTTGAATTTATTGCCCTCCCTGGACAAAACTCCACAAGCCTCTGCATATAGCCCTTGGAGTAGGGGTGGAGAAGAATGCTAGCTCCCTTTAGCTTGTTGGCTCACACCAATAAGAGTTTAATCTGAAAGGGGCTTCGTCGGCTCATTATTTTAGCTCTGCAGGAGCTGAGCGCTGTCTCTTCATTAGTTCAGCAGCTTTAATGCGGCAAATAATTGTCATAATGTGTGAATTTGGGATATTTTTTCTGCTTTGTGCCTGTTGCTAGCTTGTTCTTAGGCTAAATGACAGTTAGCCACTTTTTTTTTATTTCTAACTTTCACTGTCCCCTCTGGCGGTTAGCAAAAATCTACAAAAAAGCTGCAGCTTCTTATAAACCGCTTGAGAAAAAAGTAGCGGCTTATAGTCCGGATAATACAGTAATAAACATCTAACCTTTTTATATCTTCTTGAAAATCTGGATGTGTAGAGAGGCTCAAATAATTCTCAGGACAGATGGGAGGCCACCTAAACTTGTACGCTGGAGTGCTGTGGTCGGACAAGGCGTGATCATTCATGTAAAAGTAAGCTGCGTAGAAAGAGTAAGACAAAATATACATAATGATTATAAAATATCAAATCTACAACTGTTTAGTGTCTGCCCTGTATTTTCATGGAAGATATAGATTGATAACTTTAAGAAAATAAGGCTTCAGTGTTTCCCTGGTACAGTGGCGTCATTAATTTAGCTATTGCAGTCTGCCAAAAGTCATTTTAAAACGTCGAAAAATTCTGTTTCAAAACTGATTTGCTGAATGTGGGTACCAATGCAAAATAGTCTATGGAAATACCCAAAGGTGTCAAATGCATTAATGTTTATTACTCAAATAGAAGTGTGAATTCTATTGTTTAAAAACAGTTGCAGAAGCCACAGTATCGACTTAAGCTTTTTGCTTAAGTAAAAGTGTAAAACTAGCATTTTTAAAACTACTTACAGTATAAAATATGAAAGTAATGAAGGAAAAATTTTGAGAAATGCATTACCCTATTAAAGGAAATGTTTTTCTACAATTCTAGATGACAACATTTTTATTTTATTTTAAACTGCAACAGGCCATAACAAAAATGACCTTAAAGGAAACAAAACTAATGACTCTATTTTTAAAATGTAAAGTAAAAGTAAAAAACTGTCTAAAAATAATTACTATAGTGTGACTAAATAATAGATAGCCAACATTTCTACCTAATTAAGGTAATAAAGTATTTATTCTTTGCAGTTATCAGGTTGAGTCACTGTAAGTAAAACAACTATGTCAACAACAGATGACAAAGTAACAAATCAAATGTATGATCAAAAACAAATGATATACCCTCGAAATTAAAAGATTATTACGCTACTTAAGTAACCAGTTAAAATAAAAGATGCAAGAACCCACAGTTTGAGATGGGAGGAAGCTCAAACGCATCTGATAGGCATATTTTGGTAGACTTTCCCAGCTTCAAGTGGACCACGTTCGAAGTATTCTTCAAAATGGCCACAGCCTCCTCATGAGAAACATCCTCCAGACTGCTGCCGTTCACCTGTGAAGACACACGTAACACTCATTTGCTAAAATATAGAGCTTTGTTGCCAACAAATGAAGTTTGAAAAGGTAAAAAGATAAATACATAGCTGCTATTCTGCATATACAAGCATTACAACCTGGCCTTGGAATTATTAGGCCCAGGAGCCTATGCCCTCCAAAAGCCTATCAGGGTTTCAATATTTGATGCTTTAGTTCTCCTCTGAAAAAAAAGCACATTAATGGAAACTTATTGAATATTTTCCAGTATTTTAATGGATCCGAAAAGGGATATTTTATGTTCTCTTAACTGAGATAGATACAGTGGGGCAAAAAAGTATTTAGTCAGCCACCAATAGTGCAAGTTCTCCCACTTAAAAA